ATTATTTATGAATTTCTGGAGAGTCAGAGAAGTTCTCTTTTGATGGAGATTATGGTGAGGAAGATGACATCTTCAAAATGGGTCCTGGTAGCGAAGGGGTCGATCTGGAGAATGAACAAGCCTACAGAGCTATGTCGCGAATCAGAGATCAAATAGTAATAGATATGTAGAATAACTACCAATTCTATCTTGGGGGAAATATGGCACACTAGGGAACATGTCATATAGTCAATTGAGAAAAAAAAAAAATCCTGTTTCTAAAGTAGATCTAAGTAAAAAAAAAATACCTGAGAAAATTTGTAACTAACTACATTAAGTACTTATTTGTCCTCTAATCCACGCATCTTTAACAGCTCCTGCAGTCAGCCCAAGAAATATACAAGCTTTGGACCTATCCTCAAAAAGGCTAACAGCTTTTACTATTTGCTCCAGTGTTAACTTGTCTGCATAGCAATTCTCAAGAATCTTGATTGCAAGCTCATGTTTGAATTGTATTACTTGCTCACACTGGTGGCCAGCTTCCTGGGTAGCCTTATTCAAAGCTGTACTCAATGACACTTCAGCAATCTTTGTACGTCTGGCCTGCTTGTAATTCAGAGGCTCAGAAGTTGCACCGGTAGCTTGACTAAACCTGGTAGGAATATGAATTAAATCAGAAGCAGACCTTTGGTACTGACAAGAAAGAACATGCTCTGAAATTCTCTCTACAAAGGCTTGATGAATCATATCTCCAATATCGATCAGACTGCTTTCCAAATCCATATTTAGTTGGTTTGTAAAATTTTCTAAGGACTGTGATTGCGAAATGCCTGCAGAATTATAAGGAGCATTCTGATCTGCTTCAGCTTGTTCTACCTGTGACTGAATGGAAGCTGTTTGAGTAAATCTTCCTGAAGTCCATACTGCAAGAAAAAGACAGGCCATGTCACGAATGTGGCTTGGCAAGGAAAAGGATTTCACATGACGTATAGTTAGGAGTCACAGGTATGTTATTATTTCACACATATGACTCATTTGAGTCATATGATTTGTTATATGTGGAATTTGTGATGCTTTCGCACATAGCTCAAATATGAGTCACAGGATGTGCACCTGACGAGTATGCCTTGCGAGTGCACCTTGCGGGTAGGCCTGGAGCATATAATTTATGTTTTGCACTTGACCTCGTTATGAGGTCATGGGTTTCACGCATAGGACTCAGTCGAGTCATAGGAGTTGTTTATTGTATTATGATTGGTTTATGAGTTTTTGCACATAACCTCGCTATGAGATCATGGGTTTCGAGCATGTGACCACTTTGGTCATATGACTAGTTTGTTATGATTGGGTTTCGCACATGTGACTACTTTGGGTCACATGACTACGGGCGGAAAGAACACTATATAAGGAGTCCGATGCGGCTGAGAAGGATAGGTTCTTCATGCTTTGTTCTAAGTACATTTCCTCGTTCTTGCTGTCGCTTCGCCCTGAGCATTTCTATCGCTCCCATGATGGGCCTTGATGCCTTGGATTCTGGGGGAGATATCTGAGTTCGCTCAGTAGTTCCTGGGGTTTTTGGTGTTGAGGTTTGTTAGGTGTTGCATGGCGGATTACTTGTTTGCTTCTCATTTCGCCGCCTGCTGGTTATCTCACGATGCTGGCACTTTGAGCTATTCATCATGGTTGCTTACGAGGCTCTTTCGGTAAAATGTCTTCGGCTTCCTGTCTATCATCTACTCACAGGTTTCGCGTTCAATTGAGGGAATTGAACATTGTGTTTGGGGGGATCACCCATGTCATTCTCTGGGCCAGCTCATGTTTCTTGTTGGGTTTTAACGGAGTCCTTAGTTTTCACGATACAAAACACCCTTGGATTAGACTGATGACCTTCTCAAGCTTTAACTCATCATACCAGCCACATCATTCCACAGGTTGTAGGGCGGTGCCCGCCCAGCCCCTCCTCGTTATGTTTTCGTTTCCACGGTCGGAATCTTACGATGTTGTTTCTCACTGTTACCTTCGAGTTTCTGTCCTTACTGCATTTATGGTGGTTCAGTCAGGTGTCTCCTCTTCACTTTAGCGGGGATGGCTTTGACCCTGAAAAATCTTACCCCCTGGTGTGGTTTTTCATTGCTGTCTGGGGTGGTGTGGGATGATTGGCTGCCAGACACTCGCGTCATTTGTGTGTTTGGGTGGTTTGGTTGTGGACTGTGGTTAGTGGCTTCACAAATTGCTAGTGGGGCCTACCTTCTATTTGTCTACTCCGGTTCGCTCACCCTCCCCCTTCTTGTCGCGTCAGTTGGGGTTGCCTCTTGCCCGTCTTTCAGTCTGTACTTGTTTTCGGACCTGTCGGGCTGGCTTTGGCTGGCTCTGCCTACTATTTCACCGCTTGGTTGGACTTCGGTTTGGTTGGGCTGGATAGTGTGGCTGGTGCCGGTGTCTTTAAGAATTCGTGCTGTCTTTTTTGTAGCTCCCAGCTGTGGCTGGTGGGTCCTCCTGGGCTACAAGGTACTAGGGGTTGGGGCTCTGTTAGTGTGGCCAAGACCAGTGGCTGCCTGATGGGGCTAGGTATGGGCTGTCCTGTGGCTATAGGACGGTTAATCTGTCTGAGGGGCTGGGGGGGCTGGATGGGCTCTGTGGTGTCTGGTGTGTGGGACTTGGGAGGGCTGATTGGGGGAGGAGAGGCACCTGCGAGTACCGGTCGGGCCTCTGTCAGGTTGGGTGAGGTCTGATTACATATTTCCTGTCTGGCTTGTGCTGTTGGGTGAAGCTGCTGAGTGCTGTAAAAGCTCCCCAACGGACCGGCTAGCTGATGGCCACCTGTACAGATAGTGGGTTACGACCACCTGGTTGGACTTGTTTGTATCTTATGTGCTGAATTTTGTGGGGTTTGTTTGGTTTCTTTAGTTGGGCTACGGGGTTAGCAGGAGGAGGCATGGCACCACGGGTGGGAGAGAGGCCCTACTGACCTTTTTTGGTCTGTTACTACCTGTATGTATTTCCTGTATTTATAGTGTTTTTGTTTGGGGGACAGGCAGCAGGCACAGGTCCTCCTGACCGGTACGCTCCTCCGAGGCAAGCGACAAAGTAGGTTCATAGGGTTGACAGCCGGGTATGCGGGTATGAGAGGTTGACATGTTGGTTGCCTTCTCCCTGCCATTGTGTCACCTGCAGGTTTAGTTTGTGTCTTTTATTTGGTTTTCTACTGTAGCGGAGGTATCACGGGATGGTATTTAGACTGGGTGGTAGTGATTTTACGATTGTTGGATGAGGAACCTGGTCTGGTCGGTCTTTTGCTCGGCTTCAGCTATCCTTAGTGCTGGTTGGCTTCATACTTAAGGGGCTACGGACTTGGACCGGGGCGGGCGCTGGGGTGTTTGATAGTATTGTAATTAGTTTTCATATGGGCATGACTTAGGGATGGCAGGTGCAGGGCTGTAGACTTAGTTAGCTTAGGATTAGTGGTATACCGGTTAGCGGTATCTCTGTGCTGGTGGAGGCTCATTGTATGCCAGTATTGGCGGTACGAGTTGAAATAAAAATTAGATTGACTTCTAAGTACTTTTCCTACTTATTACTTTAACGAATTTAAAAATTCTTTTACGGTCTTTATCTTTATTGCAATTATATCGTTACGTAAAGGAGAGCTCTTCACACAGAAGAGTTAGAGAAAACTTACAATAGGCATTTCAGATAGAAGACAAAGGTCTTGTACTATCGGTAATGTAGGCAGAGGCCTAGTGCTATCGTAAGATGAAAAAGAAAGAGATGAAGAAGAGAAGTATCGTTCCCCATCACCAAGAACTAACTATCCAAGGAGGGATCGTTATATGAAAAAGAAAGAGAAGAAGAAGAGAAGTATCATTTCCCATTACCAAGAACTAACTATCCGAGGAGGGATCGTTACAGGCCAAGAGATCATACAGGGGAAACCCTTTGTGCCGATACTTAGTAGCCTCTTTATGACTCTAGCAAAACAGTATTCTTTCATTAGTTTTCGAACTCTAAAGAATAAATGTCAATAAGTTTAACTAAGAACTTACTTCCAAATATGTTCTTCAAATCTCCGAGGAAGCTGTTGGCAAACCCTTAATATCATCCCACCCAAACCCAGAGTTTTGACACATAGAATCAACAATCTCAAACTCTTTTTTCAACTATGATATTAATGTGTCAGTCTTTGATTTATTTTTCCTAATGACTTTAACCAAATCAGCAGTTGATAAAATATTAACTTACAATGACTTCTTTGCTTTTGGCCTGAGGGATGGTAAATGGCTTTAAACTAACTACCTTGTAGGTCTCATTTAGTTCTCCAACAATGCTTTGCCAAACAGATTTCTTAAACCCATTCTCCCCTCTATCACCATTGTTGACATGCTAAAGAAGTGCCTCAACTAGAAATCTTTTACTATCTTCAACCCATACGCTATTCCCTATTCTGGCTTGATGCACATGGACAAAAGCTATTAGTATCGTATCAAAATAATATCAGATAAAGGATTCAGAGAGGTGTCGGATATACCTAGTCTAAGTAGCAACGATCAAATTGTAGAGAATAAAGAGGTGAATGTAGAGGAAATTTTGTGTTATTGTAATGGCCTTGTGGTGTATTAGAAAGGGAGTAAAATGGAAGCAAAGCCTTTTTGTACTATGTGTTTGATTTTTGGTATGTGCCCTAAGTTGAGTTGTGTGACGACTTTTTTCTTTTTTTCTTTCATACAGCTGTGTGGCATGGTTGCCGAACGCTTATATTATTTTTTTTATATTGAATTTTTTTATTAGCATATATGCTATTTTCAACTTTTATTGCGATATATTTTTATTGGTATATGCCGAACGGAGCCTTAATTTATTGGTTGTTGAATTGTATCAATTTATTTGTCAAAATATGTTTTCCCCTTTTTCTCAAGAAGGCTTTGGTTGCCATGCAAACTAAAAGTGACAATAACTCAAAACACCTAAAAAGCGATTGTACTCTTTCCCTTAACAACACCCATATAACCAAGAGAGGAACGCCGTTACGCCGGCGGCAAGAAACCCGCGAACAAAGTCCCCTGAATAAGAGCGTAAAAAATCATCCAGCGCACAACCCACTTTGCACGGGCATCGTCAGCACAAATCATGCACGCAACCCACCAGTACCAGACCACACATCCGCTGCTCAACCGTGTGATGATCTGTACGTGGTATGTCAAGAGCGCTAAGAGTGCTAGCAATATCTGAGGGATGGCCAATTTTCTAACGACGGGTCCAGCGCCACCGTAGATGGCCCATATGCCAGAGCAGATGAGGACGATCAGCGCTGGCGTCGCGAGGAGGAATAACGGGATGTTGGGGATTGTCCAGTATCGGAATACGCCCACGTTCCTGCCCCAGTTAGCCTTGGTGAGTGAGTTGGAGTAGGAAGAAGGGAGCGAACCAATACTGCTCCTGCACAAAAAAGTAAATACTAGGAACCGTGTTGTTGCACCAACTCCTGAGCTCCCCAGCACCCGAACCCGCAGGGCAATACCTCCCGTAGGCAAGCCACTGCGGAAGCGCCAATCCAGCCCCAACGAGCAACCCCCCAACCCCCAACCCAGCCAAGCTCCCCACTACCCTCCACCCCCTCTCCACCCCAACCACAAACCTCCACCCAATCCTCCAAAAATCGTGCAGAAACACTGCACCGTTCAACAGCCCATTACTCCGCACCATGCTTGCCAAAAACATCCACGCACCAGAAACTATTATGTATCCGCGTACATAGCAGTACAATCCCGAGAAGCTCAGCAGGGCAAACAACGACTCGCTGTACGGCGCCGAAAGGAAGAGTCCAGCGGGGGAAATGACGTGCAAGTGGGCCGCTACAATGGGTAATTTCCCATTCAAAGGGAAGACTTCTCGCGTGATGGCGTAGAGTACTGCTGTTGATAGCGCGTGCGCGAGGTTCGCCAGGAGGACAGCGGAGAGGGCGTAATCGTAGGGTTGTGGTAGGTCCATATACTTGAGTGCCGGGGAGAGTGCTAGGCGACTGTTAGATCTCCGTGTCCAGGGGCTGGGGGGGGATGGATGCACCCCAATGAACTCCGCAAATCGCTTTAACAAAGCCATACCCAAAAACCCATTCTTGCTCGTTGACGTAGTCGCGTTGGGCCGCTTTGACGAAGTAAATTGCGTCCCAGCGGGTTAGTTTCTGTAGCAGCGTCTGCAGGAGCGTTTTTGGCGCTGGGAGGACAAGGGATGTGGAAGTGTCATAGGGTGCCGGTGTTAGGAGGGTTATGGCGAGGAGGAGGAGCTTCCAGGATAAGAAGGCTTTTGGAATTATGCTGGGTGGCATGATGGCTTGGAGGGCAGTAGGAGTGGAGATGTACGAGTACCATAGGCGTGGTGGTCGCAAGACAATCAGGGTTGGTTGGGGAAGGTCGGCTTGGCAGGGACCATGCAAGTCTGTGATATCATAATTATGATACCAGCATTGTACCAGTCCTCCGGTACCGGGGGTTGTGGGCAATTCTGTAGAACTTCTCTGGTTGGCTGTCAGGTCTTCACGCTCACTCAATGAGCAGCGTTTGCTTCAGCAACCGCGCCAAGAGTTCTATAGACTTTGGCCATTCATCTCCATAATTCGCGTTACACACACCAAATTTCGACCAATCATACCGGACTTCTACAGACCTCTGGTCATACCCTAAGTACTCGTATATCGTGCTGTAGGAACTGACAACGAATTTCCGTCCTCAGCAACACTGATACTCGTCACGGTATACCACTCGATTGAGTCGTTACCCTGTAAGAACTCTGCTAGGTTAAATTACAACCTCCTGCGAACTAGCGGATTTCTCCCTGAACAAAATTTCCCACACATTTCTGTTAAGGTGGGCTTCACGGTTTCTCGAGTGAGGGTAGGCCATTTGCTAGATATGGAGCAGAAGTAGCAGACTGGCTCGATTCTGTTAACCCCCCCTCCCCCTTTTATGGGTTGATCTCCAAGTTTATAGGGACATCCAGGTGTTGTACACCCAGCGTCGAGTATTCGATATAGTGCTTGCATTTGGGGGATACCACGCGGGTTCGCGTGCGTAGTGGCTTAGGTCAGCGCCGAATCACATTTCATGACTCCCGAACTCGACTTTTATGCAGAAGCGCTTACCGTATTTGATATCTTCGCTACCGTATGCGAACCATCGCTAGGGTGTGAAAAATAGGAATTGGATTGTATATTACCTACTCCCCAAACTATCGGGAGACTGAGGGAGGGGAAGGACTAGATAAGGATAAAGAAATCGGCCTAGAGAACAAAAATCACTTCATCTTCTCACATCTACAGGGCGAGAGCTTCCCACACTACTTCCTCACCTCCGGGAACCTATATTCCCCCGGCGCCGTGCCACTCGACCCGGGTCTTTTCCCGGGTGGCGGGGGTTTCAGTCTTGCACTCTCGAACATGAAGCTCCTGTCAAACTCCTCTACTGGACTCCTCAATTCGACCAACTCCAGCGCCTCCTTAAGCATTTTACCCGAGTTGTCGAGAGCGGTGAGAAATCTAGCAAGTTCCTTGCATAAATCCCAGTCTCCCTCCGCCACTGCTCGCTCCAACAGTCTGACCATGTCTTTCGAGGAACTAGTGAGTTGCTCAAGGGTGTGGAGGACAAGAAGGTAGCCGCCGGCTGTTTTGAGAAGGCCTCTAGAGAGGGATTCCTCAAAGAGGGCTTGAGGAGAGCCGACTACGTCGAAGAGGTAACGCCAGGAGGCTACTTCAGTTTTTCGTGTGCAGCCTACTATTACGTCGAGATATTGGGGGAAATGGGAAAGGAAACGAATGACTTCGGGAAGAACGGCGGCTATTACTGTGAGCATTATAGGAAACTAGGAAGGGTAGAGATAGTGGATATCACCTTCTGGGTCTGGGGGCCGGTCAGCCTCGTCATCGAGGACGCCGTGCAATAAAACCTCTAAAATGTGCCCAAAGTAACGAAGTTTTTCATAGTTAATAGCTAACTCTACAGCGGCCCCAGGTCTATGACATGTAAGGTAATGCCGTAATATATGGTTGAGGAAGAGGTGAGTCTAAGTTTAGATATCTGTTAATAAGGGGCCACACATAAAAGGTATCCGGACTTACTCTGGTAGAAAACTTGAAGTATGAAAAGTTGATATCTCTTCGTTGAACCAGCTCAGACTCGATTCCAATTATTATGCCTTTGTTCAGTATCGCAGACATGGGATAGAAATCAACAGCGATCTTGATTGGAGGTGGAACTTCTCTGCCACCCTCCCCTGGGTTAAGGTTGAGAATCTCCGTAACATCACTCCAGACCTGATCTTTTAATTAGAGACAGTACTCTCCCCTATGACTCGAGAAGGATAGCTTACCCTCATATCGATACCATCGAATATCCACAGAGAGTCGGTAAGTTCATTTGCTCTCCCTGCTGGGGGAAAGTTCCCGTCGTAAGGCGTCGTCCTCCCACTTTCCGACGAACCCTGCAAGAGGTGCTGTTGTATAGGACAATCCCTCATCAATACGTAGTATTCTACATTTTGTTGGAGAACCCGCATATCGTACTTTGCGTCTCCTCCTTCTGTGGTTGATGGTTGTAACACCACTAACTTCCCGTCCACAAGAAAGATAACAGTTGCGACTGCGACATCTTGAGAAGGGTCGCCATCGCGAAGCTGCTGTTCTGGTAGGATCCAGCTTATTGCCCTTACTCTTGCGGGTGCCCGGACGATACCATGGAAGTAAATTTGGCCAACCTGCACAAGTTTTACGGTATCTTTCATTCCTTGTACAATGAAATGATACAAGGCATTGTCGTAGGTATAAACTAGAAGTGAGTCATCTCCAGCGAGGGATAAGGAGATGACAGGAGATGGTAGAGTCTCTATGTGTAGTAATAATGAATTGTCGAGCTGCAACTCTCGAGAATAAAGTCTCAACTATAATGGGCGTGAGCATTTGCAAGTCAAGCTGCAACGAGGTTCTTTGGGGGTTGCAGACCTCATATAGATCATCACACTCAACTGCAGCAATTAAGATATGCTGATACCAGCACATGCCCCCCCGTACCACAAAATCCTGTTCCATATTCTCATTGATAAATGTTTTCCAGCGCCCGCTATTGACTGAATAATGGGCAAGCCCCCTCCTGCCAGCTATTGCAACATATCTTCCATCCGGTGATATAACCGCACTTCGGATTGGCCAATTGTCAACCAAGTACACCGAAGGCATTTGCACATGATGCCATAGCACACTAGTCTCCTGTGAAATTGCTGCAATATCGGATTTATCATAGCCGCGGTATATGAGTATTTTCTCATTCGTCTGCAAAACTGGACGAGCAATGTTGGCTGAGCAAAAGCAACCAGTAACTGCTGACCTCGCAAATTCCATGACCCAGATTCGCTCATCTCCCCCTTCTTTCACGAGCATTATTTCTCCACCGGCTGATACCCAGCTTCCAGTCCTCACACCATCTAGGTACCCCTCGCCTGCGTTGCGTTCTAATAATCTGGTGTCCGCCGAGAAGGAATTTCCACCAGGCTTTCCGTAGACACTCCATGTTGCCCATCCCCTTTGGTAGCCAGCAAAAAGGCAATACCCGTCAGGTGACCATGTTATAAACGTTGATTTTCCCGATGTTGTAGGTGATGCCGGAGCTGATAACACATGCGACAAGGGAATACTCCCGTTATAGTCACGGACATTATAAACAAAGATTGATCCGCTAAATCTCCTGTGTTAGTTGAGCCCTGGGTTAGGGATGAGATAGGCACCTACTTGGCACAAGCCACGGTAATAAGTGAAAATCGGGCATTTATCGCAACTTTTACAGCCTTCTCTGCGGAGGAGGGTGGGATGTGGAAACAAAAGCCCTTGAACATGCGCGAAATATCACCATCCTATGGCGCCTACATGTTAGATATCTCATCACTGGCAAAATGGGCGTGCAAACCTCCAAAACGGCCTTTTGAACAGCATACGCCAGGCCATCACTTGTAACCCAGGTTGATAGGTTCATCGGCCTGTCATGAACGATCTCCGTGGCAACAGCTACTTAACAGAGCTCGAAGATCAGTATGAAGCTTTGAATATGCGATGAAATACCTCCAAGAAACACCACATACCAAGTTAATTCACTAACCTTTCTTTTGAAGCCAAGGCATCCGGCTGAGCAGCTCTGTGGTTGTTTGGTTTCCTGTGGGATCTGGCGTCCAACGAATACATTGGACTGCAGCAGGCTTCACAGTAGCTACCATCAGTTCGTCATCGAGAGCTAAAGCTCTAATATCCGCAGCGTCCTGTTAGCCTCCGTTTTTTTATCAATTCCAGTGGTAGCAGGATGGCCGAACCTGCTAATTCCTGCATCAACCTTGATAACCATCCTAAATCTCACAGAGAATTCCCTCACCCCTCCTGCCTCACCAGCACCAAGAAGCAATCCTCCCGGACCAACGGCTGCCTTCACTCCAACGGCCATTGAGTTCTGTCGTGCGTGATGGTTATTATTAACGAAGCCCGGTTTGTACACTCTAGCATTCGGGTCCGAGGCAAGCGAGTACGTAACTAGGTATCCCAGTGTAGTTTGTACCACGAAAATCTGTGAGTCCGGTCTTATGAGGAGATCTGTATTGGGGCCGTATGAGACGAGGGAGATCTGAGACCTGCGAACATGAGCAACGACGGCCGTGGGCTACCCATAGTAATTTGAGCTTGTATTAGCGTTCCGAAAAGCGCACTTCCAAGCCCACCTAGAGGTCTCTCCCACCTTCATTTGCCAGATCGTAAGCTCGGAAGCCGTGATTGTCGCAAACATTCCATTCCTAGCCACCTTTAACGACAATATGTGCCTCGTTTGCCCCTCTCCCTCCCTCCCTCGGGTAGATCGACTGCGCATTTTCTGGTCGGTTCCTTTTTTACCCTTGGGCCTTGGTAGTGGAGCTTCTCTGAGCTCTTGATCCATAACTTCCTTTTCCCCAACTTTCCTTCCTTCCTGGGAGTTCTCACCATCATCGTCGTCGTCTTCACCGTCCTCATTATTCACTTTTTCGTAATCATCATCATCATCATCGTCCTCATAGTCATCATCATCATCCCTGAGCGAGAGGGAAGTGCTGTTTTGTATGAGCTCGTCGGAGGCGTCATCCGAATCAAATGCGGGCGGTGAAGAGTCTGGAGGAGGTTTCACCACGTGTATTCGAGGAGCGCCGAGGGGCCAATACATTATGTCCGCTACTTCACTGGTGGGGAAAGGAGACACTGGTTTGGAGAGGGTGGTCTGCGGATATGGGGATATGGTTGACTCTGGCTGGGATTATAGAGGTTATGGCACGGTATGGTGCAGTCTACGGGTGTTGACTTGACTACGTCAGACAAAATGGATAAAATTGGGGCGACACAGGACTAAAGCCAG